TCATTAACCCACAAAAAGCAGCTTTAACTACTATTTCCAGTGCTTTTTGTTTATTATTCATTTAAGTGTTGATATCAAAAAGTTCATTCAGTCGTTTGCATAGAATCGATGGCCTTCGACCGTGTCAATCATAGGACCCGGAACGCATGTTGCCGGGTTATATTATTTGGTTTCTTATCAACTGTTATGGAAACTAATTGCCTCGCTCATTCAGTGTATCTAATGAAGTCAGACATGGTGGTGTTTTGTCACAATCTCTGTTCAATGTGTATATGGATGACCTAAATGTAGAGTTAAATAAACTTCCAAGTGGTTGACTTATTGGCAGCAAAGTAATACTATATATACGGATGATGATGATAATAATATTTATTAGACGCATAAAATCCTTGGGAAGGGATAAAAAGGGTCTTACAAAAAGAAATTTAAAAACTATAATCTAAAAAGCCAAACAAAAAAACATTCTAAAAATATAAAACAAAACAAATATGAATAAACAATAAAGACACTTTGCAACCAATGGTGAATACAGAATATATAGAATGAACACAAATTATAACCTAATACACTGATAGTTGTTTCTGTTTTGTTCCATGGCTGTTTTTTAAGAAGACAGCTAAGGCTGGTGCTCGAGTATGGTTTCCCATAATCAATATGAATTTATTCTGACTGTTTTCTTTATCAAAATTTGGAACTCTATTTTGTGCAGTCAGGAATAATTTGTCCCTATGGTGACTGTAAGCTGGATATTCATTACAAAATGTTGCTCATCCACAATTATATTTTGGCTTGCACATATCACATGTTCTTTTATCCAGTGGCACATTGTTGTGTCTGCCTTTCTCAATTTTAAGGTCATGGTTGCTTGTGCTGAATTTTGCAATTAACCTTCTAAGACCGTGCGTGGTTCTGCATATTGATTAAGTCATTTTCAATTTTTAAATCTTGTTTAAAAGTCTGTATGTTCTTAGTTTGCTTTTAGCCAAGGTTTGTTTTCTATTATCATTATGCATGTCTAAGATCCATTGGTTCTCAAATGATTTGTTTATGAATAAAGTCTAAATTTTTCTATTTATTATTTCACTTGAGTTTACAATGGTGACAACATCAATATCTTGCATGAAGGTTTCTACACTTGTAAACCATTTACTTTTTACATTCTTATAGGCTTCTCTTAATAATGTGTTATCAGAGTTTGTTACGCGGTTGAAATACTTAAGTCGTTGTTTCTTGATAAAACCTTCCTATCTCACCATAAACAGCTATTTTTAGTGTGAATTTGGAGAGACCATTAATGAACCGACAAAATGAAAGATGGACATGTGTCTACTAGCGCCCTCAATAAAAAGGCTACGCAAACACTTTCAGGCTTTGATGGTTACGTATAATAACCTATTCCGTAGATCTTTCTGCTGATTACATACACTTTGGGTGCAATTATGTAATAGTACAGTGTACAGTATACTATTGTTTTTGTATATTTATTGTCTTAAATAAATGCATAATGATAGAAGCTGATCGTAACGTGTTCCACAACAGCATGCAAAGTTGCTGCAAAGTGACGGAGAACCTTTCGAAGTTTATTTTCTGAAATTTACCACTGTTGTTGTAATATCGAATTATGTAGTTCATCAAAGTGGCGAAAAAGACACGTAAATGCTCAATGAACTGTCAATGTATGGGTCAAGTCCCGAATCATTCAACTTTAATCGATATACAAGTGTGCAAAACTGTGCATGAGGAAGTTGGCGAAGTTGCTTGGAAATTTGACCGATCTTTAAAAGTAAAACGCACGTCATCGCACTTGCATGGAAGACCAATTAAACAAACAAGCTAGTGCAACTATTTTTTGTTGACATTTCATGTTATTACATTTTAATCTGGCAGATCAAATGGTTAATTTCAAAATTGACACCATGAAGATTGAATTAAAAACAAATATTTCAAAATTTAGAAACATTAAAAATATGGCTTTCAATACTTATACACACTTCACAAAAATTGCCTAGCTATATAAAGTTCCAATAATATCCAGAGAAGAGCACTAACTTTTCCTTTGAGTGTGCAAAGAATTGCACTAACTTTTCCTTTGAGTGTGCAAAGAAT